CACAGTTAAAGCCCAGCCAGTTAACCTTGCTATATTCTCCCCTACACAAATCACGCTGGTCCCGGCTCCCTTCCCCCACCCCTCCCACACCACTGCTTTCACTTGTTTACTCGCAGTTCATCCCCTTCCCTCTCTGCTCTAACGGTATCCTCTTCAGTCTGCGTTACCGTGTCTCACGGTGTTGTCGCTTGCAGATTTACCTATACTTTTTCTTCAACCCTGAAGATGGGGGCGATACGTTCCTCCGAAACGTCGGTTAACACCACATATACACGGCGCCAAAGCCCAGAAGACTGCTTTCTTCACCAAGTGTTTTTTTTATAAATGAACTTCAGCAAACATCAGTCAGAAAACAAGAATTCTGCTACAACTAAAATGCATGCTAGATCTTTGAATAACATCCTAAAATGTTTTAATATATTAGAAAATTTTAAATATACTTTAAATACACTTTATTGTATGTACCATGAGCACAACATCATAACTAACTCAACAGAACTGGGTACAACTTCCCATGAAATTAAATTACAATATGCAACTCACTGGTCTGTATTTATTTTTACTTGTAAATTTCACCTGATTATAATCAACATTTCATAAAGGTATGTCGCAATTTTAAGAAATAATGAGACATGATGCCTGAAATAGTGGAACCAGATGAGGCATCAAATGGGAGGCAACAATTCAGGAAACATGTTCCTGCAGCAACACATACATGTGCAACAACTGAGGAACTGCTGGAAGTGGTGTTTGCTATGCAGTCTGTGCCAAGGCTATATAAAGAGGGCCAATGGGACCAGTTAGTCAGTCAGCTGTGAGCTGGCACTTGTAATTGATTGGTGGTTAGCCATGGGCAAGGAAGTAGAGGAGTCTCCATTGTCAGAAACCACTATCAAGCAAAAACTAGTGAGACTTAGTGTGTGCTATAGTGATTTGTTGAGTGTGTACATTAGCAAGAGTATTATAAATATTTTTAATTACAAGTCATAAGTGTTTAATAAATCCAGTAATCAATCCAAACCCTGTGTCTAGTCACTAACACATGACAACTGGTTTCAGAATTGGAATTAATGGATTAACTGAATTATGCACTGTTGAATTGGAACCAATGTGATGGATAACCATGGACAACATGGAACTTCTACTAACCTTTGTAGTGAGGATGGAAGGTAGTATGATTGCCAGCCAAGAGAAGACCGAGGCCAAGATAAGTGATTATAATTAATATACCATCTATGAATGGCACATGGTAACATAGTTGGTTGAGGCACTATGCTACAAGCTGGAAGGTCTGTGGGTTTGAGTACTGACGAGGTGGATTTTTCCAATTTACCTAATCCTTCTAGCTGCACTGTGACCCTGGGGTCGACTCAGCCTCTAACAAATGAGTACTAGGAATCTTCCTGGGGAGGGGTTAAGGGCAGCTGGCATGTAAGGCTGACAACCTTACCGCCACCTGTTAGATGACTGTCTAGAGAAAATGTGGGAGTCTCGAGGTCTCACAACGCTATGGGCTTTGATGGCCAGTTACAGGGATAGATTTTATAACAACTTACCTCCCCTTTTCTTGGCAAGTTTCTCCAGGTCCCTGCCCTGTTCTTTGTCTTCATGAGCCTTTGCAGCAATATCAGATGTGTTCACAGTCACTGTTGACTTGATTTCCTGCTGTGAGTCCTTCATTTTGTCATAGAATACCTAAACAGTGTATTATTTCTCTTTATATAACTTAAATTGATATCTGATTGTCTTACAACAGTGAAAGTTAACGTAAGTATTCTAGGATGATGAATGTAGTCTGGTAGATAGATCTTCATTGGTTGCATTCTGTTGTGTGTTCCAGTTAGGAATTAGGTTAACCATCAACTCAACAAATATACTCACTTTTTAATGTTTTACAATTTGACTTTTATTCCTGCTACATGTTTTCTTTGTATAAGACCATCATCAGGCAGTTATATATAGGAATACATATAGTTACTGAACCACTGATATGGATCCATATCAGTGCAATGCGTTGTATTATATACTAACACAAAATTTGCCTCAAGTTGGTGTTAGAATTAAAGCAGAAGATACAAAATAAGATAAAGGATAAAATATAAAAATATATACCACATATCAAGATTTATATGCTTGGTGTGTTCTACACTGTACATTGGTTTGATGTAGACTGATAAGTCTGATCACACTGAACGTATATATGACCAGACAAAAACGCATACACCATATTCTTTGAGCATATGATAATACACATCATGAAATTGCACACCTAATATACCTCACATTACCAACCTGTACCTCATAGAAACTTATCTCTGGGCTAAACAACTGAGCTTACTACATAGAAAGCTTCCACAACAGAGACCTACAAACAACACAACATGCCCAATTTCTACACTGTAGCATTGGAACCATAATTAAGTTGGCATGTTGTATGCCACACTGTCGGGTGACAGAGCGGATACTCGTACTTGTGGGTTGGTCTTGACGGAGTCGGTCGAGCGGCTAACATTGTCCATTGTTCAGGTGAGATGAACTGCTGAAAGATGCTTAATTCAAGAGAGTTTATTTACACAGTAAATATGTACAAATGTAACAACAGCAAGTCTGCTTAAGGCTTTAGCAGTGGCCGACTTCTAACTGACAGAGTACCGTCCTATAGACTAAACTTCGTAATCAGGTTAGAAAGCGTTTTGGACAGTTTGGGACAGGGTTCTTATAGCCCTGTCTGTACGGTAGGGGTTGTGTGAAAGCTTCCCTGGAAGGTACAAATTTCATCAGATAGGAACGTTCTAGAACATTCTATTGTTATTTCATCTGGTGGGTCTTCCCAGACCTTGGCTTGCTTTCTCGGACTTTAACTGATGTTTTCCAGTTTCTCTGTGAAGCAACGTGCCTATTCTTATTTGCTTCCCTTAGTTCAAAATAAGTCTGTTTGTCCTCTGGCAGATAACATCAGTGAAAGTCGAGTTACAGTATGTGACAAGCCTGTGCTGTTCTATTTAACAATTATCAATAAGTATTACATTCAGATTCAATAAAAATGTTACTTATGAACCGTAACCACTCTAATTACTCTATCCACCATATACCTGTTATATTCCTAATATCTAATACATCACACCATCATATGCAACAGGCATACATATTTCTTAACCCCCACACTAAACTGTTTAAATATATTTTTAACATTTAAAGTATTTTTAATATTTCCATAATATGCGAGGGTTGGATAAAAAGTAGTGGCAACACTGCTGTAATATGAGAGATGTGCATCAGGTGGCACGAGCACCATCTGTAGCTGACAGCAGAAGTTCAGTTGAAGTAATGAAGTGAGTGGCTCTGGTTGTGTTTCATTGAGTTGCCTTGTGCATCATCTTGAAGTGCAGGAGCCCAGTTCAAGCACCCTAACAACATGTTTTCGAAACAAGAACAACACTCCTGGATAAAAATTAAAGTTACACGAGGTTGTAGTGCACAAAACTGTTATCAGGGACTGCGAGAAGCACGTGGTGATGCTGCTTTGCCATATCGCACAGTGGCACGGTGGGTGAAATTGTTCCGTGAGGGAGGGATGCCATTCAGGACAACCCCATGTTGACAACCACACAATTCAGCTTCTTGCTTCTTTGCTGGATGTTGATCATCGATGGGCTGCATGGGAGTTAGCTGCTGAGGTAGGCATATGTCACAAAACCGCGCTCCACATTCTGCACGATATACTTGAATATTGCAAAATTGCAGCACGTTGGGTACCCCATACAAAGTCCGAGGTGCAAAAATGGCAATGTTATGCAATTGCACAGGACTTGTTGGACCAGTACCAGTGGAAAGGTGACGACTTCCTTGGAAGGATCATCACTCTGGACGAAACTTGGGCTCACTCATACGAACCACACTTGAAGCGACAATCAAATGAATGCAAGCATCCTTGCTCTCTTCATCCAAAGAAAGTGCGCCCTACACAGAGTAATGTGACGGCAATGCTCACTGTGGCATATGACACTGTTGGAGTGATACTGCACCACACTGTTCCTCAATGACAGACAGTAAATGCTGCCTACTCCTGCAGTTTCCCGCGTAATCATCTTTGTCCAGCACTCAGGAGAAAGCGACGACGTTGGCAACGAACACCATCATCCTTCATGACAAGGCAAGGGCTCATACTGCTGATGCTGTCAAGGATCTACTTCGCTGCTGGCGACGGGAGATACTGCAACATCCACCATACTCACCTGATATGAGTCTGTGCGATTATGATCTCTTTGCCAAAATGAAAGAACCACTGCGAGGGACACGTTACAACACAAGGGAGGAGATTATTCATGCTGTAAGGCAATCACTGCTGGACATCAACAGAAGTGGATGCACTGATGGTGTATGACGCCTTCCACAAATTTGGCAGAAAGTGGTACACATGGGGGGTGATTATACTGAAGGAATGTGTGTTTACCTCAGGTAATAAAGTCATTTAAGAACTACAGGGGTTTTACCACTACTTTTTATCTGACCCTTGTATTTAACACTTTATAAATCTTGGTATATGGTATATATTTTTATATTTTATCTTTTAACTTATTTTGTATCTTCTACTTTAATTGTAACACCAATTTGAGGCAAAAGTTTTATGTTAGTATATAATATGACATGTTGCACTGGATCCATATCGGTAGTTCAATAACTATATGTATTCCTATATATAACTCCCTGATGATGGTCTTAGAAGACCGAAACATGTAGCAGGATTAAAAAGTTGAAATGTAAAACATTAAAAAGTGAGTATATTTGTTGTGTTGATGGTTAACCTAATTCCTATATA